TTTCACGCTACATATACGTATATGTATTATTTATACATATGTATCCATCCATCCATTTTCCTCCGCTTAGGCAAGATTAGAAGGGTGTTCCAGATTTTCCTCTCCCTGCCACAATTTCCAGCTCCTCCTGTGGGATTCTAAAGCGTTCCCAGTCCAGATGGGATATGTAGTCTCTCCAGTGAGTTCTGGGTTCTGAGCTACCTCACGTCAACTCCATCGACATGACAGAGCAGCGGCTTAACTCCTCGCTCGCCACAGAAGTCCAAACTCCTCGCTCTACCTCTACGGCTGAGCTCCGTCTTCACCCCAGCAGTGCGGTCCTTACATATTTTGTTCTTACAATAAATTACGCACATTTTCTGTTTTACTTCCACTTCTCCCAGTTGCCATCGTCATTTACACATAATTTTTTTGCCCCATAGATGTTTTTGCAGGTAGCTGCTGAACATGCTCCAGCCATATGTTGGATTAGAATGAAGGGGTATCATGGGAGAATGTAATAAGCTAATAGTGATCCTCTCCACTGTGCCCTTGGTGGAAGTAATCGCATCAGTGGTCATGAAGCGGTATCAGTTACTCAGCCCCCTCAGTCTCTGCTCTCTGTCTGAGCAGGAGAGCCAGCGAGCGCCTGTCAATCTGATTGATGGCTCGCATCTGCCAATAAACGATGAATCACTTGGCTGCTCACGACCTTTGACCTGTGAGCTCGGAACTCTTACTGATTTTAATTCCTACGCATGCATGTAAACGCACACACACACACACTGCATTTCAATTATGCCTGAGTTTGCACAGCCAATGTCTTCTCTTGTCTTCACTTCTTTTTTGTCAGAGCAGGATGATGAATTTGTTGAAGAGGATTTGCTGAGTAAACTCATGTTCAGAAGCAGAAGTCTGTGTGTGTGTGTGTGTGTGTGTGTGTGTGTGTGTGTGCGCGAGTGTGAGTAGGGTTGACGGAAGCAGCGCCGGACGATCCTCACAATTAATTCATCAGTGAATTCTCCAAGCAGCCAGACAGGCTTTCAATAACTGCCAAGAAAATGGAGTTACTGTCGTCCTTGGTCTGCCCTTGGCCCGCCCCTTATCAAACAGCATCCTAGTCTGCGGCTCTAATTGATGAGTCAGAGGCCAGACGGGCTCTGATTGGCTCAGAGGGAGCTGACGCTTCTATGACATCACTTTGATGAGTCATCACCATCAGCGGGGCGGCTGCTGATCTACTTCTCCTCAGCGGATCATGTTCTCTCATAATAATCTGACTTCCCCGCACTGGAGCGGGGTCAGTGATTGGAAGTCAGCTACTGACGTATGACGGCCGTGCTGTGATATGTTATTTTTAACAATATGTCAAACACACTGACCACATCTTTCACAAACACACACTTTTACAATCATGGTACAGTTTGAGACCTATGGTACTTGTTGGCCATTCAAGCACAAGAGACCGTTCTATTTCTGTCTTCACCAAGTAGAAGAAGAGGAGACGCAGCCCACATAGGTGATGAGAACATGACGCACATATGTCAATGTGACATAAATAATAAATTACAAAAAGCTCTAAAACAACTACATCCATATATTTCCCCTTTGCCCCCTCACCCTGTCTGACATCGCACATTAAGGCCACAACCTTAGAGAGAGGCAATTTCTTTTTCTACTGAGTCAGCACTAAACGACCATCTGACCAACTTCACTGGATTAGGAGGCTCAGTAAAATGAAAATCTGCCTCGTTATAATCTATCATGTCTGTAATGAACCTTCAGTGCTTGCACAGCATGCTCTCTTGTAATTAAAAGCATGACGTGATGCAGCATCGCAAGCAATTCTATCTGGAGCAGCTCCGCAGACACAGCACTGTCAATATTCAAGAATCAAACACCCAGAAGAAATCTGGTTTTCTCCTCTTGCGCAGGATAATTCTGAAAAGGCTCCTTACGGACATGTGGAGTTGGGAAGCGATCTCATTAAATATTTCAGAAAGCGACGGGTGGCAGAACAGGAGACTGAACAGATTAGAATGTGAAAACCGAACATTTAAAAGGGTTAATAAAGTGTGGAACAAGCTCACTTCCATCCGATCCAACCTGAGAGGAGGAAAAAGAGACAGAGATGGAGAATAATGTGGTTATTCTATCTCAGCCTCCTGAGCAACAATGGCAGGCTTGTCCAATAAACACTGTTTGTATTGATCCATGTGATCCTCCTGCAAACATCATCCACACATAAACAAATCAGAAGCAAATCGGATACACTAAACTACGTTCCTCTGCGGAGGGGTTATGTTGACGCTGAAAGGGGTTTAAATGTGAAATATAAGAGACGCACAAACCCAAATATACTTAAAGCAGGAAAATAGTGTTTTATTTGTACTTTTTTGATGATGGAGAAACAAATGCAGACAGACAAGCCTTCAGTCTGAACCCAGAGATGGGCTCATTAGTTGCCACGGCGATGAATAAAAGATGATATGTCTGGAGATGTGGGTCCTTCCTTGGGGAGTCGTCTGGGGGTCTGAGAGGATGAGTACACACTTTATGGTTCCTGTCTCCCCTCATACAGCTCAGTAACATGTGGCTGTTTCCTCCTTGTGATTTTTTTAAAGCTTGAAATGGACACTCATGTACTTCTCGTGAGGGTCAAAGTCACATATGCACATGCTGATACTTGTAGCTCAGGATTTTTCATTCATTTTTCATTCATTTACAAACATTCAGGGGGCTCCGTTTGCTGCCCGAGGCTTCCCCTTTTTAAGTCTGCAGAGACGGACGGATTCAAAGCCGCTGCAATTCAACGTAACACATTTAAAAGCAATCATAAATCATAGAAATATATTTACTCCCAGGAACTTTTTATTTGCGCTCTAAATTTACAAAGAGAAAACTCGGCGTCTACATAACACGCAACCAAAGCTTTTTTTATGGGGAAACCGATGTTATATACAGCGCAGATCCCTACACAGATCTGTGTGATGCATAATGCATGTGTGTCACAATCAATCCCTTCATCCTTCACGTAAGAAAGAAAAAGACAGAGGGAGAAAGAAAATGCTAATAGTTAATGTTTCTCAGTGAAGGAAACTATTTAAGACGAGATGAACAGGGAGGGAAGATGAAGAGAGTCTGCATATACTTAAATCCCATTCCACTCGGCGTCTATGTCTGATTTCTTTAAATTTATATAAATAAATCAAGTAGCTAGTCTCTTTCTTCGCTTTAATACAAATGTTTGTGTGTTTGGCTGAGATCGTGAGAAAACTAGAGCAGAGGGCAGCATCTTTAAATTATGCTCACGTCTTTCTTTAGATGACTCTATTACGCAACCTGGTCCAAGCAGCACAGAGCTGCCATCACAAAGGATTGATGGTTATTAAACTGCAATCACACGCAGTAACAGTGTGAGTGCTGTTTATAATTGTTCACAATGTCTTTAGTCAAGTTGGTGAAATTAAATCTGAATTTATGACTGGCCGGGCTCGTGTGAGGCTTTTAAATCATGTTTTTTGGCCAACAGGTTATTTAGTCGTTTGGCCCCGTGCAAACAGTGAGGCCGTAAAAAATCCTGGACTGGGTTTCATAATCCTCAGGGCCAGCATCTGCTTATGCAGTGGCCATGGAAACATTAACCCCTTCTCACTTAAATAAATGCATAAACCCACAGGCATCCAGCTCGTAAAAATACTGTACATCTTTTTATGACACATATTTATAAAATGCTTGAAGTCTGCAGAGTCCAGAGTCTCAAGCGTGATGATTTTCTACTTTTATTCTTTGTTATTGATGTAAATTATATTGTTGTTTGGACAAAATAAGCAATTTGATGACATCACCTTTGGCTCGAGGGAATTGGGACGTGAATCTTTAACTTTTTGGGGCATTTTACAGACTGAACTGAGCTTTTAATCTGAAAAATAAACTACTGCTTTACATGATCTAACTCTGTCTTAAAATAATGTGGAGCCTCATGTCAGAAGTTATCTCCCTATCTCCTCCATGATGTCCAGACTCATCATGGTCAGTGTGGACAGTACGAACCAATTACAATCACTTTCACTGTGTCATTATACATATAATCATTTAAATATGAAAATGAAAACCTGAGAACAAGTCATCTAGATTAAGTAAACTGTTTGCACCCCCCCCAATAAAAGACAAAAAAATACTTTCTTTTATTCTCTAAAGATGCAGAGAAAGTTTTCGTCTGACTTTTATCCCGTCGCCTTTGTTTTCCTCCATCTCAGTTCCAGACAGTCAAATACAGACTGAATAACTCCTCTCTCCACTTTTCATCTTCTCTTAATTATCCTGTATCTTATTTAAGTCTCCATCGTTTCCTCTTCTCCTCCTCCTCCTCACCCTTCCTCCCAATTTTCCCTCTCTCTTTCCTCCTCCTCATGGCCTGAGGGGCCGGATGCTTCCGCGTACCAACCTGGACTCGGTTTGTGTTAGTGTACGAGTGTGTGTGCGCTCACTTGGTACTTCCACATTCTCTCAGACACACACACACACACACACACACACACACACACACATATATTTATAAGTCAACCCTGTTCCCACGGGAGACCCTGCCTGTTTGAGTTATTTCAGAGTTGGTGGTTAAACAAGACAGCCCGAGGAGTCTCTGTCTGTCTCTCTGTTTTCTTTCATGTCCGCACTCCTTCGTGAGCTCTGACTGGGCTGAGGGGAGTGCGGAGGAAACCGGGGAGGATGACTAGCAGGTGCAATTGTTGCCGTTTGATTTTCCAGACTGAAGCGCACACAAACGGAAAACCTGCGGGAGTTTCAAGCTCGGCTAACAACCGGGAGCCCTTCAATTTTAGATTTACAAAGAAGTCATATTAGAGGTTCTTAAATGAGCTGATTTAAGGGATAATACGATGCTTTGAATGTTCTTCATGCCGTGTTCCAGTGTGAAAACAGTTAACAGATGTACAGTAAGTTCAAAATGTGTCTTGATGTTGTTGTAACTCCATCACTGTGTTTCTGTGTGTTTGTTACAGACTGAATGTGACCTGGAAAAAGGTTTGGAGATGAGGAAGTGGGTCCTGTCTGGGATCTTGGCCACAGAGGAATCATACCTCAGTCACCTGGAGGCTCTGCTGCTGGTGAGAACACACACAAGCTGCAAGAATGCACATTTTCAAAGTCTCTACTCAGGCTCCACCCCTCGCCATGAATGTTCCGAACATTTTTCGTCAAACCTGAACAGTTTCCTTTTCATAGGTGAAAAGCTAAGACTGGAAAATGTCCTGATCCAATTTTACAGACATTGTCCAGAGTTCATGCCCTCTTGTTTTTGTTTGGTGCCACTAGTCATATCTGGAAATGTAAGATTAAACAGATGCTTCTGCACAAATCCTTAAAGTGAGACTAGTGTTTCCCTAACGGCAGCCTCTGTGGCCACAAGTGGAAATAAAGGATAATGGCCCATTAAATGTCCCTTTATTTCTTGACTCAGTTGTTTTATAGATGCTGTCATCGTTATCTTTATTCTGGCAATGGATTAAATGACGGGGTGTGATCATCATAGTTTCATGGCACACAACTTTACTGTTGTGATTCTCTCACTAACAGACAAAACGACTGGGAATAAAAAACGCTTATGTTTGAAATGTCTGCAGTAAAGTTATGTACTTTAAAAAGGTACCAATTTCAATTCAAAGCAGTCATATGTTCTTTTAGGCCTAAATACCTCCTACACTGATGAGACCACCTGATCAGGTTTCACAGACACAGAGACACAACGTGTTTTCGAGCCCGTTTCAAACCTGTCATCTCTCCTGTTTGTTCTCGCCCAGCCCATGAAGCCTCTGAAGGCTGCAGCCACAACATCGCAGCCCGTCCTCACCGTGGCCCAGATAGAAACCATCTTCTTCAAAGTGCCTGAGCTGTACGAGATCCACAAGGAGTTCTACGATGGACTCCTGCCCCGCGTGCAGCAGTGGAGCCACCACCAGAGAGTCGGGGACCTCTTCCAGAAACTGGTGAGTGGGTACAGAAGGAGATTTGGGGTTTGGTTTTGGTGCATTTGGGATTGTGGTGTGCGTTTGTGTGACGTTACCCCTGATGAGAGTGACACAGGACACTCAACAACAGGACGTATGGATGCAGACCCAAAACAAACCTACTCTGCTAAATTGGCATCATTCATATTAATGTTATTTCTGGAATCGGGAGACTTTCCATCAGCAAACTCAATAAACCAATAAAAAAATGTTGATTTGATTTTTGTAGTGATTCTTTTCCTTTATCATGTTAAATCCGGACAAATTAAATCTGAATTGTCCTTTTATTCCCATTTCCCTCTCTCTCTCTTGCTCTCTCTCTTGCTCTCTCTTTTCCCTCTGGTGGTTTCTTCCAAACGCATCCGAACCAAACGTACACTGGGTCTATTTAATCATTTTCACAATGGGTCAATTAACCCACAATGAATCATTTGTTAGTTCCGTCCTAAATATTCCCCCCCTCTCTCCCACCAGCGTCTCCTTCACTCTCCCTCTCTCTCTCTTTTCTGTCTCTTTCCCCCTCAGATTCACATGTGCTCGAACACACACACATCTACACACATGCACACATACACACACACATAGAGGGAGGTGCATGCATGTTTCACAATGCCGCCTTTCTGAGTCCATCACTCCACTGTGTGCTTTGTGTCTCAAAGAAGCTGCTATAAATAGGAGCCTCTCTCTTTCACTCTCTCTCTTAGTAACGTATTCCATCAGCCTTTTCTTCCCTGCGGCCTCACCTTGCAGTCCAGCGAGCACAATATCAATTATTTGAATCAATTACTTTGTTTAGATGCTCATCTATATTTTTTTCTTTCTAAAAACTGCTCCTCGGTCACAATGAAATGATTCTCTGTTCCCGGAAAAAGATGTGATTTCATGGTTCTGATATGGGTGATGACTAAATAGAGAGCCGGCTGTAGTCTGTGAACAGTGTATGAGAGCTATTGTTGTTCGAGCTTTATTTAGGAGATGGAGTGAAGGTTCGCTTCGTCTGGTGCTCGTGTGATCGTACGAGAGCCAATTTCCTTTGTCTGCTTTTAACCATTACGTCAGCCTTGATCAGTAAATACAGTGCTTTTTTTTACGCACTGTATTTACTCTTTCTCTGTCGGTATCAACAATCTGGCTGTGGTTGTCACTCTGCACACACACTAGTGCATCCCCAAGTCTGTGTCCCATTTCTGCCCTCCAGACAGTAGCTAATAAAAGTCAGATTGAGAAGACGCTGAACACACAGAAATGCTACACGTCAGTCGTTCTTTTTGGTGGGGAAGGAGGGAGGAAGAGCTTAGATGGGAGCAGAGGAGGAGATACAGGGAAAGAATGGAGGGGGTGGTATAGGCTGAAAGAGGATGAGAGGGTATCAGAGAAGATTTAGGCTGCTGTGACTCTGATAGAGCCGTGTCGCTGTGACGCAGAAGTCTGCGAGAGGAAGTTTTTTAGGAATCGTAAGACATCAGAGCAAGAGACGAGATAGGAAAAGAGGAAGAGGCAAAGCGTCGGTGACGGGTTTTGAGCGTGAGTGTCAGGGAGAAGTGTTTGAAGGCTGGAAATTGTGTGCTCCTGCTTCTCCTAAACATTTCATACACAGCAAAGAGGTGAAGGTTTTACACCACCAACATAGACGGAGATAAACTGACTGTTGCTCTTCAGAGACTGATGATGAAGAAAACCTCTTGATCCTTTGTTTGGCCTCACAACCATTTGTGCTGTATGTATATAGTGTTTGTGTGTTGGAGGGTCTATCCTGTGTTCCTTTAACATCAATGATCAGGAGAACACACGATGTCTAAATCCAAGGTTGGATGCACACCATGATGCCACCAATTTACATTTTGATTAGAGAAGCCTTCAGTCACTTCTTTCTCTTTGCCGCAATTTGGCAATATTTCACACCGGAACGTCCCCCACAAGTAAAACAGTAATGTGTACTGTATGCAAGATTTGAGAGTTGTGTTGTGTATTTCTACTTTCATCAACATGTGTTATTTTTCAGTTATGACTGTCAAACTAGATAATTAAAGAAGTTCTGTGGCATTCTGGATCTGTAACACGTGGTTTAAGTTTCACCCTCTCTTTCTCTGCTTTCCAAAACTTCAGAATGACTGCCACAAATTTGAGAATGAATATCTGCTCGGGCTCACTCACAAGCCAAGCGGTTAAATTCAATCTACAGCCGTGGTCCGTCATGAGGCTTCTCTTCTTAATGTTGTTTTCCACACTGAGTCTCACTACAAGACAAATCCTGAACTGAGAAATCCAAACACCCAGACGCTTCCTCTCATCACCTAAAGCCATTTTTCTGCTCTTACACACTGTAGCTGCAGCCGATCGCTCGGTAAAGCCTTTACGCCGTCGTGTGTGCGGCTCGGTGGATGCGGCTGGCAGACGCGCTCTCACACAGTCGAACTGTCACGCTCTGAATGGTGCAGATTGTGTGGCCTAGGGCACGACACAGGATTGTGAAAATTGCTCCACTCCTCTTTTTTTCCACCACTTTACTTCTTCCTGCAAGTACTTGATGTACAGAACACCATAGATCCATTTTAGGACGGTATTAATGTGTAAAATTCACAAGCCAGTAGATCAGATGTACCACACCCACACATGTTGCCAGCAGCAACACAATAAGTGCAAATGATGTTGAGAAAACTTGTGACTTCACTAAAAACTGTTTAAAAGGATTAATGAGCTGTAGATAGTTATAGGAAATGTTTTATGGATGTGTGCCATTAATGATAATAACATGATATATTTTTAATATTAATATTGGAAATATAATAGTTAAAAAGCAAGTTTCTAGCAACGGCTAGGCAAAGAAGATCTGCAATAATGAGAGCAATAGAATTCTCAAACATGGATAGACATGATGCTTGACTTTATCAGCATTAAAATACAATGAAATAAAAGGAGTTTAAATAAAGTTCTACATAAAATATTAATTTACACATTTCAAATTCACTGGATCCATATTTTCATTTGAACAGAATCAAAGACATGCCAGATCTTTTCCCATCAAGTCTCATTAATCATTCTCTGAGAAATCAACCAAAATGTAGGAAAACACTGATGAGAGGCCTTCTAGTGTCACGTCCAGCCTCTCCACAAAATGTGAAGGAAATCCGTTTTTAGTAGTTTTTGCGGAATCCCTGCAAACAAACCAATAAACGGCTGCAAAAACACAAACCTCCTCAGTCGGGGGTATTGATGGACTAAATTCCACACTGGCTCATGTTTACCCTAAAAGGTCTGACGTGTAATAAGTTAGGTCACAAAGAGCTTTAAACTTAGTAATTCAAAACACTCGTGTATCCGCCTCACTCAGGTGAGCGCTCCGGAGCTATCTCCTTTCAGAGGTCTGGGTGAAACTCGACATTACACACAAAGCCCACGTCTCCACTGTACCCGCCCGTCCTCTGGCTTTTGTTCAGGAGAATTGACTGTCCTTTTGTTTGCCGTGGAGATGGATCGCAGCGCTGGCAGGCAGCGTTTGCTGGAATCTCACTCACCCGCGCAGCTCACCAAAAATGCTTTTATAGCCTCTGTTACACTGATCATTAATTACTCACCCCGGGAGAGTGCAGGTCCCCCTTGGTTGCCACGGCGACGGGTCCATCCTGCGAAGGTTACCGCGGTTCCTATGCTGCTGTTGTTGTTGGTACAGTGATCAGTGTTGTGCTTCTGCTGGTGCTGTTGTCAGATCATCTGCAGGTCACAGTTTCCCAGATGCAGCTGACTGGACTGAATCTCCTTTTTCCATTATGAAATGTCAAGGATTATTTATCTCGTATTGCAATTTATCTTTTTTTTCAAGTTTGAGCTTCGTATTGTCGATAGTAAAGATTTGTCTTTTGTGATGTGAAATAGTTCAGATGCCACGGCTCAGAATACAACAAATCTTTCAGAAATAAAGTGCCTAAAATGTCAAAAGTTACTTTTTAACTTCAGTCAGGGGTTGAAAACACTAGTAAACCTCTAAACACTTCCAGACTGTTCTTAACATTAACATCACATCTCTATATCTTTTCCTCTCTCTCCATCAGGCCAGCCAACTGGGAGTTTACCGAGCGTTCGTGGACAACTACGAGCTGGCCGTGGAGACTGCGGAGAAGTGCTGCCAGGCGAACACGCAGTTTGCAGAAATCTCTGAGGTGAGTAGGTGGAGGGAGGATAACAGAGAGTGGTGCCAAGCGGTGATAGTGATGTGGGTGTTTTTATTGAAAGTGATACCGTGAATGTGGGTGAAGGCATTAGACAGAAAGTTCAGTGTTGTTGCAGAGTTGTCGCTGTGATCTCTTGAGTTATGGGATCACTTTAGCACCGTGTTAAATCAGTCAGTCGGACTCTTAACCCCTGCATACCAGCAAATTATCCACTTTCAGCAGTGTTTCTTTTCTCTTTGATGTATGAAGCAATGCTGTGTCTAATTAAGATAAAAGTAAAGTGAAGTTCAGTTCAACATTCATCACCGGAGAGTATTTAAACCAAATTGATTCTAAAATATTGTTTAAAAGTATTTTTTAGGTCTGCACACTTCATAAGAGAAACACAGTTTGAACTAACATAGTGTTATACAGTATATTATATAATTATATAGGAACAGTTTCAGAGTCGTGTTGTATAGAGGGAGACTCTTACAGCTCTTTTTAGTTTGTACCTGATGCACTTTCAAAACGCTCTCCCATTATTCACCCACACAGCTTTTATCATCTCACTGCATTTAAATTTGAATGTTCTGCTCAATATTATTGCACAAGTGTAGCCAGAGGCAATATACTGTGTGTGTGTGTGTGTGTGTTAATTTTATTTATCTGCTGCTTTTCGTGTCCAGAAATACCAGAATACTGAGGATGGTGACTGATATTTTCTGTCTACGCTTCATACTCACATCCGACAAGGAGAATATGAGCTCAGTATTGTATCAGTCAGTGTATTCGTACATACACAGACTTTAGACGAGCCTCGACAGCTTAATAAATTTGTAAATGTATCTTTTCCTCAAACACAAGTCTCCGACAGCTGCGGTGGCCCGGAACAATTTCTTTTATTGTCAACAAACACATATTCTCATGCCTCAAATTGAGTTTTGGATGCTGATATAACAAAAGTGGCCCTGGTTTAAACTGGTAATCGACCTCAGTAGTGTTGTGAAAAAACAATCTGTATCTTCTGTGAAATTGATTCATCCTTAAGAAATATTTCTAGAGCTGTAACTCGATGTGTGGAGCTTTAGTTGAACTATAAAACGCAGATTAAACTGAGGAAATGTTCACCTCTTTATTAATTTAGCTCACAGGGATAAAGTTCAGTTGTAGCAATAGTGCGACGACCAAGTCTTTGCGCTCTTGTGCCGTTTCTCCCCCAACGTTTTTCAAGCATGTGGCACATCTCTGATACATCATCCATCTTCGTCTATGTTTTATGAGGGCTACCGGTTAGCGTCGACACTGGGGTCTACATGCAGACTGGGGAATTCATCATGGACGCTTGTTAATGGTCTTAGTAATGATGCATGACTCTGAACCATCTGAGCAAGATGGTGGACGTGGGGGAAAGCTGCTGAGGAGGGCATAATTAGTTTGAGAGTGGGTGACCTCATAGCTCGAGCAAAGATAATAACCTGGCCGTGTTTCTGAACATCTTAACTGTACCAAACTGTTTTTAATAAATGTTTTCATATCTCAATGTCTGGATTTAACTTTTGTTTCAAAACAGAACCTGAAGGTGAGGAGCCCCAAAGACTGTAAAGACCAGACGGGCAAGAACTCTCTTGAGGGTCAGTCACTTCTGCCAATATAATATATATATATATATATAAAAATCTGTGTTATTAACAATTAAGTCTGATTTCTCGTCTTTCTATTCTACAGCTTTACTATATAAACCAGTGGACAGAGTAACACGTAGCACATTGGTACTTCATGTAAGTAATGTCACTACTTTAAACCCTGCTGTGTTTTATGACTTCTCTCTGTTGTTCAGAAATTTACCTTTGAAGGTATGACGCAGGTTTCCATCTCCTAAAAAACCTAAGTACCCAACCTTAGGCTCTGTAAACAGATTCCAAATAAATAACTTGTTTTAAGCCACCACAGGATGTGTGCATTAGTTTCATGTGAGAGAAAAACGCAAAAACAAGACTGAACTTTATTTTTCCAACGTCTTATTTTTGATTGTTTTACCTCCTGGGTGAACTGAAGTTCTGCATCTTAGTGAAGATGGAAGAACATCTGTCTTTATACTTTGCTTTTCCATTTATTGCTACAACCCAGGTCTTAGTTTATCGCATTTATGAAAAAGTAATAACCTATATGCAGCCGTGATGCATTTCAGTCATGACGTTTAATGTCCCATGTTGTAACTTTTTAGTTGCACATACATATACCCAGGCATTTAAGCTTAATGAGCTTGCTTTTGAAAGTTAATACTTCTTCACTCCTGTACATGTAGGACTTACTCAAACACACGCCCACGAGCCACCCGGACCACGCTCTGCTGCAGGACGCTCTGCGGATCTCCCAGAACTTCTTGTCCAGCATCAACGAGGAGACGACGCCGCGGCGCCAGTCTATGACCGTCAAGAAGGGAGAGGTGAGTGCAGTGGGGATTTACAAAAAACAGAAGGAGCCACGCTTTGCACCCTCTCCGCTTGTTCTCCTTTACGCTCAGGGGACATAAAATGTGACTAAACAATGGTGAAGAATTAGTTCCACGTTACTGAAAGACCTGATTAGAGAAATGTGCACTAGAGGGGAGTTTGTGTTTGTTTTCTCCTGTTTTGGTTCATGGATGGTTTAAGTGTCTTATTGAATCTTGATAAAAAACATGCCACCTTAAAACACCAAATCCAAACTATATCTTTGATAAATTTGGTCTCCCTGGCTTTAAAGGAAACAGTAGTGATAAGTCTGCTAACCAGAGGGTTAGCGGTTCAATCCCTGGTTTCTCCAGTCTGAATGCCGAATGACCAAGGGCAAGACACTCATCCCCCAGAGGGACCCTGATTGCCACTGTGCCAGGAATGTGTGAATTATGGGGAAGCTGTGAGAGTGATAAAACCTGTACTGTAAAGCCATGAAGACTAGTGAAGCTTTCTATGATCACAGACCATTTACCATGTGTGATAGAAAAGTGCTAAAGCTAATTCTAAATGAGTTAATGTGACTGGTGCTGTAAAGCACTTAAAATGGTCGATATGCCAAAAAAGTTAATTTGCTAAAAGTGGAATATTACAATGCTCATTATAACAAAACCAAGGTCTTCCAGAATATCCCATGATTCTACAGACAGTCGATGCTAAACATGTCGGTCATAATGGTGATTGTTTCATCAGTTTAGGTCTAATGCAGATTGCTGAGCTTGATGATGTCATGACCCCGCCCTCTAAAAAAGACCTTGAAGTCACCGTCAGATGAGAGTGTGACGGCGGAGGGGCCACCAATCTGCAGCCTAAAGCAGAGCCCATGCCCTTATATGGTTATAGAAGGGTTTGCGTAGTTGAGGGTGATTCTCTGTTTGCACTGTGTCTCTCTCGTGGCCTCCCCATCTCTCCATCTCCTCGAGTGCAAACACACACTCACACACACTCACACCCTACCCCCCACTGTCTCTCTCATCCCCGGAGATGACTTGACGCACATGAGTGGATGCATCTTGATTGATAGCTTGCGTGACACTGCCGTACATAATGCCTTGTAATGAGCCACCGGTCCGCTCTGACTGGCAGATTCCGTGTTAATTATTCATAAACGGAGGGCAGGAGCGAGCGAGCGTAAAGGCTCTGTCAGCTCCACCCTCCGCTCACAGGGGGGTCATTACCGCACCCATACACACACACACACACACACACACACACACACACACACACACACACACACACACACACAACCAGTCTTGTACTTCTATCGTAGTGAGGACACTCACAGGTATAATGCATTTGCCTGACCTCAACCATCAATGCTAAATGCCTATCCCTATTTCTAACCCCAACCTAATTCTAACCCTAACCCTCAAACCAAAAAGTGATGACCGGCCAAAATGTTCTTTATCCGTAAGATCTATGCTCAAAATAGTCCTCACTAATATATAAGTACAAGTACACACACATGCACACACACTTTCTATCCCCGCAGGCCCCACTTCCATCCCAGTCTGGCCAGACCTCCACACCAGTCATCAAATATTTATGATGGATACATGAAAGCAGCACATGGAAATCAATGGGGCTCATTATATCGTACCTCGCCATAGACGCAGTTCATAATACGCCCGAGGTTTTTGTCTGCGTTTCACCAACTGAGCTGCAACATGTTAGACACTTGAAAAGATAACAACCATCACCTGGAGAAGTTGAGAAGCTCGTGTTGTGCATCCGATGGGGAGGAAGACGCTTAATGACACCTAGTAGACTACATACCTGTTTTAATACCTGTAATTACACAAAACAGTCAAGTAAAGTAAGATGCCAGGTTTTAACAACCATGTGAGCACACATTCACTCTCCTAAACTGCCGCTCCGCTTAAGCCTGATGTCTGTACACATCACCATCAGAGCAGTGTTGTCACTGAACCTTTTATGTGCCTCGATATCTGAAGAGCGACTCAGGCCTCTGATGATACTGATGTTTTCACTTTGTAAAGAGGTTTCCCTCAATCTTCCCTCATGTGATTTAAAATGTCAACACATATTTAATAACTGTAGGAGGTTATTAAGCAAAATAACAAACATTTTATAGAATTATTACACATTAATTTGGCACTTCTCCAAGACTACAATGGTATCTGGACCAAATTTGACCAGGTTCTTCCCTGACCTACCACATCCTTCTACCAAGTTTCATGGGAATTGGTTATTTTATTTAATCCTGCTTCAAATCAAACACTGATGGAAACAACTTCCTTTGCAGAGGTAACAAAACGTGGGAAAAGTTTTAATATCAGTGTTCTGCAGTAACAATAAATCTTTTTCGATTATGCGATCGTTGCAGAAGAGGAAAAAAAAAACGTATACTCTCATCCTCCATGTGAACACAGAAGCATGTAACCTGTGGTGTGTTCAGTGGAGGCATGCAGGCGCTGAGCAGCACAAGTGGCCCCCAGAGGCCCCCAGCCCTGCCAGATGATGGGAGGGGACAAACAGAAGCTGCTTAATATAAAAGCAAACGATGGCGCTGCTGAAATCTCAATTCACTGAGCCTTGTTTGCCTTTGGGATAGAAACGGTGCTGATGGGAGTGTGCGTGTGTGTATTTTAAGTATAAATCATCTTCACCACTTTCATCCGTCTGTACGTCTTCCTTCCACTGTATCAGTACAAATCCCCATATACACACATACACAACAGCAAAACACACAAGCGCAGAGCTGCCCCTTCGAGCGTGCGTTCTAAATATAAACACGGATCTTTTGTAAATTCATGCCATTACTCGTGCACACGATCCGAGCGAGGCTCCTGCAGGAGATGGTCAATATTTAATCTGCGCTCTGTGCTGTCAGAGCGCTCTGCCTCACGTCTCTCCTCTTCCACTCTGCTGCTGATGTTCCGGTCAGCTGTTAAGAGAAATATAGAAAGTCACGTTTCCCCATAACTGGCTTTTCCACACATTAAGAAAAATGTTATCTGATGCGCTGGTTTATTAAAGATGGCTTTTCCCCGGCAGCTGAGCAAAACCGCTGCATAAGCACATTTTAAATTCATCAGATTACCGATTTAGAAACAAGCCTCTGTAGATTACATTAAGCCTACATGCAAAAATAAAACAATGAAACTAATGTAGAATTTAGCCGAGGCCTAAATTTCCCCTCAAGTTAAATCACACCTTACAGCTAAGGCCACGTTACATTGCTCAGCTACACATTGGTGGTAGTTACAGGTTTCCAGTATATTTGTTACCATACAGCAGTGGAAAAAAGCCCACGCTCCTTTGAAACCACATTTAAATGGAACTCCATGAAATTGCACACACTCATAGATACCAACTCCCTGAATCGGTCTGAAAACATAATTCTCTGAGAAGTCGACAAAAATGTTGAAAAACGTTAATCCTGCAAGACAGTGAAAAAAAAGAATCCTGGATACACCAAACTTTTATGACTTCATCCCTGACCCTCCAAGTTTCACGGCAAACATCCATGACGAGGGAAATTAGATAACAACTAAACATTTCTGTAGATATCCAGTACTTCACAAGAATAAACTCATGTGAACAGAGCTTTTTGGTTTATTGTATAATTCCTTATAGATCCAAGTTCAGCTTCTAATTCAATAAAGAACGCTCATAAAGTCTCGATTTTGGTTTGAAACCTCAGCATTTTTATCTGAAGCCTTGAACGTGCAGTTACAACAGATACTTCAGTCTCACAGTTTATTTGTGTCCTGTCTGGCTTTATCCTTCCTCACCATCTCCATTCACTCACACAGTAAAGACGCCAGTAAATCCATAATCTAGCTGTTATCCTTCCTGTTATCTTATCTCTTTATCATGCGATCAGTGGAGGAGAGGATTACCCATGATGCTCGTGGGGCAGCGGGTCACTTCAAGCCCAGCTCACTCACCTGAATGAGAAAAACAAATCCAGCATGGCTTCCAAAAGAGCCTCATTCGTTCTCTTAGGGTCCCTCCCTTCAACAGATTCTGCTGACCCCCCTCATTGTAATCTGCATGAGTCAGCGTGAGGTGCTTTCTCCGCAACAACCCGACCTAATCTGCTGCTGTACTTTCTGTCCCGTAATCCAATCAATCTGGTCCGGTCTGAGGATTTTCTGCAGACTCGTCATGATAATCACAGGAGATTTTGTCTTGTTGGAAAACAATGTAGATTCTGAACGTAAGGTTCCAGATTCAAAGCTACGTTGTGATATTTGCAGAGGAATGCATTTTTTCTCGCTACTTGAAGATTAACTCCACATTAGAATTTGTTTTAAAGTAGCTGCACTTGGCTCTGCATCAGGGGAGGGTCCAAAGGGCCCTCCTACCTTTAAATAATCTGCTGGAAAGAATTGTCATTGATTGTCACATGATTTGGAGATCATCTTATTATTATTATGACTGGGACCAAATGCTGCATTCCAGTTCCCACTAGTGACAAATACCAGAGCAACTCATCTGGATGTTATCCATCAATGCAGGTTTCATTATGTCGTTAGATCCTGTTAGATTATTATTTTGAAGATCAGAGTGTGATTATAATCAGCTGCAGGCTCTTTCTGTGTGAGTCCATGAGGAGATGCGTTGGTGACGCGTCACATGGTTTCAATGTCTTCAGTAAGAAAACTGCACTATGACAACAATCCCACTGGGAGCATGTCTCTCTCTCCCTCCCCTCTCTCTTCCTCTCTCTGTTTTCTTTCTCTGACACATGATGTCTTTCATTGCTCCGTCTTCCTCACCTTCCCCACAAACACTGAGCGACACAGCACGGCCCTCTTCTTTGCCAGCAGATGTCCGGTCAGGTTTTGTAAGCACAGAGAGCTCCTCTTCAGCGTCTTCTGCCAGTGACAGCATCTGTGTGTTTGTGAAGGAGGGGGAGGGCTCCATCGTGAAACCAGGGACGTGATTGGCTCACAAACAACCACTGGTTGTATACAAGGCCGAGGTTCCCTGTGGAGAAAAATAATGTAAAGTAGTTAAATGTGCATTAAAAGTTTTGTATTTGTTTTGCAGGGCGAGCAGAAGTAGATGGACTGTAAAATCCTACATGTCTGCATCTTGTTAATGTTATAGCCCATTAGGTGTCGAGCCTCTTGTCTGGTAATGTTCACTCTTTAACGTTTCAACTCTGTAAAGTTAAACTTAAATTAATTTCATTGCCGTCTTTTATACATTTTATTCCCATACATTTATTTGATGTTAAAACAAACCATAAGGTAAATTCCCCTTAAATAAATGAGTGTACAGTTAAACAAAACTATTAAGTATGAGTTGTGCAAACCTAAGGACAAAAATAAGTGTAAAATAGATCATAATATTTATAACATTCATCCTAACCTGCTCAGTGTGTGATACAAATACATTTTATTCCCATATTTTTACTGTCAGCCCTTCATACTAATAAAACCAATGTTTAGAGAATTTAGGAATGAACCATTTCTAATTGAGCTGTGGTTTGACATGTGACTCCTCCCTGTCTTTTTATACTGTACATGTTTTCTGCTTTGGCAAATTACATCACTGCCCCCTTTTGGCCACATTTAAAATTGCACACATGATTACATAGTCTGACGTCAGTAATCAGGTTCCAGAAATCACGCCAATCCCCTCAGTCATTCTTCCGTGAGCTGGAAATGAATGATTATGTCAGAATATGACAAAAGATTTTTTATAACACCACCCGACACCTTTTTGTTAATAATTTGGTTGTTATTCAATAAATAGGAGCAGGTTGCTCATGAGCTTTGTCACCAACGATTGAGTGGAGAAGACGTTTCTGATGAAGATCAACCTTCTCTTCCTCCTCTCTGTTCTCGCTTTGTCTCCTCCAGATTTCACTCTGTTAGAACATGGGTTGGGGACTATGGAGGAGAGGAGGAGGAGGAGGAGAGATAAAGCTTTTAGATGCAGCCGCAACACAAAGACTCTGAAAACTAACTGTGTCCTGTCCACAGAATAAAGCGTAGTTGTGACTCTTAGAAATGCTTTGTCACTAACATTACAGCTTGTTTTCCCCATTTTAAAGACCTGCGTATTAAAATATTCATGTTTGATGACGTTTATTTTCATCTGCTGTTATATTATATCATGATATTAAAACCTAAATCTCCTTGTTACTGACCCGGCACATTGTGTTTGTGTGTCTTCCCCACAGAACAGGCAGCTGCTGAGGGACAGTTTCATGGTGGAGTTGGTGGAAGGAGCCAGGAAGCTGCGACACGTCTTCCTCTTCACGGATCTGCTGCTCTGCGCCAAACTGAAAAAACAGATCGGAGGGTAAGAAATGAGTCTACAACAGTAAAAAATAGGAAATACATCAACGGGGGGGAGTGATTAGGTGTCTGAAAATGTGGCTGCATATCTTAAACCTTATGTCATAACAAAACACATATTTAGGTCTCGGATTTCATGATCTCATTAAAAGACGATTTTCCTCAAGGTCCTCACTTGATGTTTTTATGATCCATAAACATTTAACGCAGGTAAATGTCTCTCTGGCATCAAATCGCAGCCAAGAATTCTTCAATATTACGCCATTTATCCCTTTACATTATCTGCTTCACGCCTCATTTTAATCCCTTTTTATCAATCTACCCCTCCTTTTATACCTGCTTAATATTCCTCTTTTTCTTTTTATACTTGTCTCTCCTCACACATCCTCTTTCATTTTCCCCGACTCCTTTTGCCGCTGCAGAAAAAGCCAGCAGTACGACAGTAAGTGGTACATCCCCCTGACCGAACTGACCTTCCAGGGTCCAGAGGAGACCGAACCACTCACCATCCCCCAGGTCCCCGATGAGGAGCTCGATGCCATGAAGGTCAAGATCTCACACCTCCGCAGTGAGATTCAGAGAGAGAAGGTAAAGTGGATCCACAGCGAGGACACTGGAAGACGTTTCCTCTCCGTCATATTGCTTGTTTCAATAAAAGCTGTTGAGGAACTAAGAAAAAAAGACTGTGCAGCTTAAACTGAAGCACGGCAATTGTTGGTTTATACATATTCAGGGTTTCATCCAACATCAGTGGTTTGTTTCAAGGTTTTCTGCATAAATGTATGTGTGAACAGTTTTCTCCTCTGTGATTGCAGAGAGCCAACAAGGGATCAAAAGTCATCGACCGGCTCAGGAAGAAATTGTCCGAACAGGAGTCTCTTCTCCTGCTAACATCTCCGAGTATGCCGCTCCGCGCCTACAACAAGAACGGAAAGGTGATGACGCTCTCTGTCTTAAACTGCTTCTTCTGTTTGTCTCGTTTTCTGTAATATTCCCTTGTTAATCTTCCCTGAGATTAATTCTCCTTGATCTTTTACTTTATAAAACGTGAATATATAACTACACATTTCAAATTGTGACTTTATATATTTGTCACAAATAAACCGTGTCCTTTGTAATGTTCCAACCTGCCCCTCCCCAGATTATTTGCTGTTGAAATAACAGCCTTTGTCTTTGTGTGTTTATATTTCAGAGCTACGGTTTCCTGATGTCATCTGACTATGAACGTGCCGAGTGGAAGGAGATAATCAAAGAGCAGCAGAAGAAATGTACGTGTCCCAGAAATGTCACGTTGAACATTTTTCAATTCAAACCAGGATGTTTTTTTGTTTTTTGTCTTCACCAAAAACAAAATCCTGGGAACTTGATACTTTTTACTGTTCTGAGAAACTTCTAATCAAAGAACCTTGAAGTAGGAAACAATGTTTTGGCCTTTAGGAAAACACAGAGAACACCAACAGTTTCTCTTTGTGATACACATATTTATATAATCGCATTGATTTTCTAAAGTCCTTGTTTTTTCTTTAGGTTTTAAAACGTCCTCCTTGACGTCCATGGAGTTACAAATGTTGACCAACTCCTGTGTCAAACTACAGACTGTTCACCACATTCCACTCAGCATCAATAAAGAAGGTACGTTACTAATTTGTATTTCAAACTTGTTTTCAAGCTTAAATACTGTTTTGCTAAATGAATCTTTTTCATAAGTGGTAGATGGCGTTTAGTGTTTTCCATCTCTGTTGTAAATCATTCACTAACGATAAATCACTGTGGGTGAGATGAAGATGAAAAGTACAAAGAGATTTAAGCCACATGTCGAAATCTGATTCTGCTCCAAAACAAACAGAGATCTGCATGTTTTTCTAATCCCTCCTCTGTCCTCTCTCTCTCTCTCTCTCTCTCTCTCTCTCTCTCTCTCTCTCTCTCTCTCTCTCTCTCTCTCTCTCTCTCTCTCTCTCTCACTGTTTTTCCAGAGGATGAATCCTCTGGCCTCTGCGGGTTCCTGAATGTAATCGTCCACTCTGCCTCCGGCCTCAAACAGAGCTTAAGTGAGTC